ATGTTCGGAATTCTGAACTTCTGACGATATAAATCTGATTTAATTTGTTAATAATGGTAGTTAAGAGAGTATATTTTCTATCCTCTCTTCTGATATTGTTAAAAAAAACATATTCTTTCTTATGTCCCCTATGAGTTTGTCAGCAGCTGTCGACAAAAGGACTCTAATTTCAATATTCAGGAGGCGTGGTAAAAATTTTGGACCAAGAATATGACACAGAATTTCTTGATTTAAGTACGAGAGCTTTGACTCCTGACTTGACTGAAACTGCTCAGGTTTTCAATCTCTTTTTACTTCCTTGTACGAAGTAAAAAGGAAGTATTGTAATCGCGAAAAGTTTCAGGCAGCATATTTCAATGAAAATATCCATTTTGACAGCTATCGAATGCAATTTAACGACGTTTTTGCGTGATATCTGTACGTAAGAACAGAATAAAAGACTCGTTTCCTCCAAACAAATTATAAAATGCTTTAAAATGAATTCTGAAGAGAATTTTTCGTGGCGTCTGTACCGAACGTATGTACGTACGTGCGTACGTACGTATCTCGTATAACTCAAAAACGAGTAGGCGCTGAACGTTGAAATTTTGTATATAGGACTGCTATAACATGTAAGTGTGCACCTCGTATTTTGGATGCAATCGGCCGCACCAAACGTATAGAAATATACACTCATGTCCAAAATTATGTTTACATGCATAAATTCACGGATTTCTCAGAGACTATGACTTATAATTTAATGAATTTTCGTGGAATCATACATAACATGATGCCACATAAATAAAAAAAGAAAAAATTTAAGATCACCTCATATGATAAAAATTGTAGCATGAAACAATAAAAATGGTAATAAAGGTGACAAAGAGAGTTAAGAAAAAAAGGAATGATTCAGAAAAAAGAATTAAGTCTTACGAATTTAATATGGATATGATCTCCCTGACTTGTACACACATATCACAACGTGTTTTAAGGCTGGAAATAACGTTGTTAACTACAGTTTGGGGAATTAATCTCCACTCTTCCAGCAATGCCCTCTTCAGAGCATTTACATCTCTAAGGAGGAGGATGTATACGTGCAATTGCTCTTCCAAAGGTAGTCCCATAAGTTCTCTATCGGGTTCAGGTCAGGAGAGTTTGATGGCCAAGGTATTCGCTTAATGTCTTCACTTTCAAGGAATTCATCAACGAGGTTTGCTCGATGTGGACCGGCATTATCATCCATAAATAAAAAGTTAGGTCCATATGCACCCCTGATCCCCCTGAAAAGTCTTACATAAGGATCTAAGACCTCATCTCAATATATCTGGCCTGTCACAGATCCGCTGCTGAACACGTGTAGGGGCGTACGTCCATCGATCATTATTCCACCCCATACCATCACACCTCCACTACCGAAACGGTCACGTTCCACAATGTTCGAGGGATTATTTCGTGTTCCTGACTCCCTCCAGATGTAAACACGTTTAGAATCACCAGTTAAACTAAACGCGACTCATCAGTAAAGAGAACATGGGACTATTGATGTTCAGTCCAGTTTTGATGTTCTTTACACCAATTTTAAAGCGATCCCTCTTTTTCTGTGAAGACAGTAAAACACATATTCTTGGCTTTCTGGCATAAAGGCCTTTTCATTAAGCCTTCTGTATATTGTTTGCCGTGATGCAATAGTTCCAGTGGTGGCTGCAAGCTCTGAACTCAACTGGCGAGCAATAGCCTTTCTGTTACGACGGGCAGTTAATGCCAGATACCGATCTTCAGAAGCAGTTGTCATTCGTTCCGACCTGTGTCCAGGCCTCTTACAACATTCCATCATTTTGAAACTAATTCCATAGCTTAGAGACTGTCTGTCTTGAAATATTCAGACATGTGGCTGTTTCCATGATTGACTGCCCTGCTTCTAAACGGCCGATAATTCGCCACTTTACAGATTCTTCCAATGATACTTCGAAGCCATAACAAAACCGCTTTGAGTCCCTACACACTGAAATCAAACGCTATGTTGCAAGAAATTCACTCAAAATATTCAGTTTGCGCAAAGCGCTTGATTCACCCTTAGATGACGTAACGCCTAGATTTGCATATCACAAACCGTTTGATTACTTTTGATTGGATAATGCTAATTAGGCTTGGTTTTCACACATTCCCTGCAAATACGGATCACATTGATTCGATATTTCATTGAATATCATCATTTTTGGGTATGTAAAGATAATTTTGGACATGAGTGTATTTATATATATATCTACTCTGTTACCCGGCTCAGTGATCTCAGTTTCTTTACTCTTATATGTTTGTAAATTGTAAATTTTTTGCTTTAAAAATGATTGAATTATGTTGTTCTTATCTTTCGGTTAAGGATTTTATGCCTTTAGTAAATCTGTATGCAATATTTTTAGAATTATCAACAATTTTAAAGTTGTTTAAGTGCCACTAAGCCTAATAATTTTTTTGATGGCGGCCATTGCTTGTTTACATTTGAAACAGCAGAATAGTTGATATGTTGCCAATCTAGAGAAACTTAGATTCGCAACAACAAAGATAACGCCTTCATTTATTATTGCGAATTCAATCATGCTTAATCCTTTCTGAAATTTTTTCGAGGAAATAAGTGTTTAAGATTTACTTCGTAATTTTTAATATAGATATTTTGAGTTTTTATATATTTTTGCCTTCTCGCGAAGTGAGAACTGAATTAATTGAATGAGAAATAGTCAATCGTCTGTGAAAAACTGTTTCTTTTTTGTTTTGTTTCCTTAATTTCTTTTATACATCGTTTTAGCTTTATTATAGTATTTGAATAGAACATGTGGCAACGATTATATAATTCTATTCTTTAAATGATATAAATTTTGTGCATTGTGAGTTATAATATGAACGAAATATAATACTGTTAAATGAATCTAGCGCCAGAGTGTGGCTATGGTAAACAAATACTAGAGTGAATTTTAAAGAATGCATTTTATTCTATTGTGGTTTATGCACTGTCGGCGAAGTAGATTTAATTCAAACCAATAAGTTTAAATGAAATGCAAGAAAAAATGCGTATAATTTAATATTCCGTACAAGGAAGTCATGTGGTGTACACATCAGATTTTTTTCTCTTTCTAACCGTATGGAATTGGGAATCTTTGAAACATTTAGCACATAGTATTCATTCTCTTTCTAAATATTACAACAAAGTTACAGTCATTAAAATATTATTAAAGTAGTATAAGCAGTTTAATTGATTATAATGCTAAAACATAAATGTTTTAAAATGGTTTAATAATAAACTTTTTATGTTAGGCTGCAGAATTAGTTTGTGTGTTAAAGTATTTGAATGCTCGTAGTAACAGGTTTTATTTTCTAAAGAAGTTGTGCGAAGGTAAGAGAATAAATACTTCGAAATCCGATTAGATTTCCAATGTTTTCATATTAAGTTTATCTACGTTACTCTTCCTAATTTCAAAAACAGTTTAATAAAGAAATACAAAATACATGAAATTTATAAACTAGACAGAAACCTTAAAATTTATGATAAAATTATGCAATGAAGATAGAACCCAGTGTGAACTTCATCATAATAGATAGATGGTAATTTTGTTCATTTGAGAGAAAAAGATTAACCCCTATCGAACTCAAGATTCATTGTCCCAAAGCAGATGTTCTTCATGCCGGTCCTAACCTTGAATTTGGGTGATCTTCTTATCGTGGCGGTGTGAAGGACGGCCGACACAGACTTTTTTCTTCCTTTACAAATGAGTTTCGTATTTTGCATCGCAATAATATCATTAAAGAGGTTCTTTAAAGTTCCACTTAAGGTATCGCATTAAGGTTACATTTGAGTGTTATTTCATTAATTAGATTAGTCTGAACGATTTTTACTCCCTGAAGTTCTGACCATTAGCAGTAAAAATGAATGTACAAAATAATAGTATTTAAGGATGTTAAAGAATATTTAAATTAATTTTTGAATTAAATACGATAAATTAATTTTAAATTGCTAAGAATATAATTAAAAAAGACACCAAATGCTTTTGAATGTGTTTAAAAACTTGCAATTCTTTATTGTGCCATAAGGTATTTTCTTCCTTTCTTTCTACATGCCTTCGTGGTGTATTTGGAAGCATACTCGACGCGTATTCGGGAGGTCCAGGGTTCGAGTCCCGGCGAGGGTATTGCTTATTATCCATGTCTCCTGCTTCAAAAACTCCTAATAGCTCTACAGTACATAAAAGTTGATATTTAAATCATGCCCTATCTAGCATATTTCTGAAAAGTACATGTGTTTGTAAGAGGCAATTAAGTGTACATGTGTCTAAATATGCAACTAAATGTACACTGTACATATGTTTAAGGAGCAATTATTATGATAAAATGGCGAGAATAGTGAATTTTGAAAAGGTAGTAATTTTGGTAGTAACTTTTCTACTGTATATTATACAGTATTTTTGATGCTCGTAAGAAAATTACGAAACTTTTATTCCATGGGCCATAAGCCATGGGAAATGAACCTGGATCTGCTGTATTAGTGTTTAGATAATTTTATTCCAGTAGAACGGATTTCATGCAAGTATATATGATGAACTATTAGAAAATTATCTAATTAAGCGAATTGAGTTTTTTCTTATAATTTTCTGATTCGAATTTCTAAATTTTTGACTTCAGCCCATAAGATAAGATTTCCCCCCGCCTTGCTTGATGCATTTGTGGAGTAATTTCAGTACGTGGGTCAAACACTAAATGCCTTAGTCCTCCTAATTTTCATGAGCATGCTCATGTATACTTTTCATGAGCATTTAGCATGCTCATGCTATCCCATTTCCAAACTTGTTTTTTATTGATGCTTATTTCACCGGTCATCATTTATCACCGACAGCACATCGCACGCTTGGCCGGGCATGCATTTCGGTCCAATCCGGGCGGGGAGGGTATGGAGAAGGGAAGGGAGGAAGTCGGGATAGTGAGAGGTTGAAACTTTTCATATCGTTTGAATGCTGTGTTTTGGTTGCTGGCGGGCAGTGGCAGAAGCATGTGGTTGCTCCCCGTATTCGGTGGCCGAGTCCTAACTGGGGACGTGCCGCCCCCTTTGCCCACTCTTCTCTACCTCGTTATAGGATATCTCACCTGTTCACAGGTAGGAAGATGCCATTTATATTGCAGAAATTTTTGTCTCATATTATGTAAGCCTTTATATGAATTTGAATTTCCAGCGAAAGCGCACTTTGTAAAAAATTTTGATAAGCAGGTTTTTTAAATTTTATTTTTTTCCTCTGTTTGTTTATAAAGCAAAAACCAAAAGAAAATTAAATATTTAAGAAATATTACATCAGCAGAATTTTCTGCAAAATAATTCTGTTTAGATATTTAAGGAGTTTGAATATTTAATGAATATTTTTTATTTTATTGTTCATGTACTGTTAAGTGCACGTATACATATATATGTGTGTGTGTGTTTGAAAAAAAATGAAAGGTTGTAATGATATCTTTCATATGCTACGTATCATTACAACCTTTCCTTTTTGTAGATATCTTTCAAATGCAACATATCATTACAACCTTTGAAATTGCTGCAGTGATATTATTGCATTTCCTTTCAACAATTTTTAAATCTTTCTTTGAAAAATTTTCCGCAGAATTTTCTGAAGAATTAATGCAAAAATTGCGATAGCTAACATATGTATTACGTTTCCATTACTTATTACATATACTACTCACGAGCAAAATAGTAATTATGACCTTCGTAGGGGGATGAGTAACAACATCAATAACTAATATATATATATATATATATATATATATATATTCCGATTTATACAACAACTGATATTACAGTGTTTCTTTTAAAATCTGCTTTTCATAACTCTTGACATCTATAAACACTGCATCGTGGTTTGTTACGCAATAAAGAACGTAACGGGACTCTGAAGGTTAAGTTTCTTCGTAAAATGTTCATGGAAATCTGAGGTCAATATTCTTTACGAAAAAAAATTCTGACATTTTTAAAACGCAGACATACTCTACTTAAAAAAAAAAATTTTCTTTCATTTGAAATATTGCTCTCGCGCTAAATTAAAAAAGATGTGTTACATTTCATTAGCTTTCATATGTATTTAAAATACTTTGCTAATGGGCTTTTAATAATTATTTAGATTAGTTTCATTTTAATTTACGCCTTGAGGAAGAAATATTACTACAATATAATTCAAAAATCGATTTTATTTTTATTTTTTAATATTATTATCCCAAAAGAGACGCTAGTCCCGAATGGTATATTAGTGTCAAAACGGCATTTTGCGTTGAATCACTATAAACGGTGTATCACTTTTCAAATTGTTGCCACAAAATGTTACCGCCCTGTGTTATGTTTAAAGAAATTAAATAATAAAGAACCTGCATGGACGCATGCATGTTTCTCGCATTGTGAAAACCAACGGTACCTAGAGTCATCCAATTTTGAATAACGTAGGCCTCCACCCCGACACTGGCACCTGGAAGCCCAAATTTTAAATTTCGAATTTTTTTTTATTATCCATTTCATATTTTGTAAAACCTTAACTAATTCTTGATAAAAAATTAACGATTTCAAAGCTAGCTGTGGCAACACTGTATCAAATGAAACATTTTTATCTCCAGTGCGCGAGACTGTATATCGAAAATTCTAAAGATATGCTGCTTTAAAATATTTTGTGGTTTTGCTGTTGAATCGAATTTGATGTAGAGAAGCGCCAAGAACGTGATATTTAATAAATAAAGTAAACATATAAAACTTGAATAACAAAAAGACAAAGAAATCTTTTGTAAAGACATCTTAGTACGAAAACTGAACATTGATATGATGAACGGAGGAAAGACTGAAAAAAATGTATGCCTACGCGTAACGCTGTATCAGGAATTCTAAATGTATACCGCTATGCTATTCTAATTTAAAATTTTTTGTAATTTTGCTGTTGAATTGTATATGGCGTAAGTACGAAGAAAATTATACTTAATAATAAAGCTAAAAAGACAAAAGAAGTGGGTTTAGTAGAAATGAGTGTTATAGCAGCCGGGTCGACTACGAGCCCAGCGAGATCGTAAAAAACCTTCACAAGCCCTTTTGGAAAACCATTTAAATATGAAACCCTTCATATTAAAGAAAATATGATTTATTTTAAAGCCATTAAATTATTAAAACGCTCATTTTATTTATTTGACTTTCATTTCATTCATTTCAGTGTCAAGGATCGTCGAAAAAAGCGTTGATTTTTAAAATCTCATCAGTATATATTTCGCGAATGAGAAAAACTTTATTTATTTTTACAGACTAGTAATTTTGGTTTTAAGAGTATAGCTCAATAAAAGTGACTGCAGATTTTAATTTCTTAAATATTGTTCTTAGACGCTTGCTTCCAGGTACCCAGTTTCGCAAAATAAAATAAAGAATTTTGCGAAAGTTCTCAACACGAAAAGTAACACGAGAGACTATAAAAATAAAGTCTGGCCTATTATATGGTCTCGTAAAGCAACATTTCCCATTAGTAAAATACTTATTATGCTTTGATAATTTAAATTAAAACGTTTCGTAACTTTTAATATAAACTTCGTAGATTCATGCGTAAATAATATTTTCATAATTTGCACACTTAGCACTGCTGTTATTTTACTCAAATTTGAAGCTTTTAAACGCCAATGAACAACATTTTTTTCGAACTGGTTCTTGAATTTGATAAAAAAAGTGTTCATCTATTTCGGAAATCAACATTAAAAAGTGATCTAGGGGAGTAAATTTACTGGATATCCCTGGATTAACCTGGAATATCTACGCTACTCACTATCATAAAATTAAATACTTCTTAGCGTTTAAGTTCTTGCAATATGGGTAATGTTTTGCTAACCTTTCTTGGTGACAATCGTATAAAAGGCTTTAGTTTTGTATTCGTAAAACCTTTCCCACCTCACGGTTGAAATTGCTTAAAAAAATCTTTACCTAAAACAATCTTTGAAAATTTTTGTAACTAGAATTGCTTGTGTAAAACCAGAAAGAAATTACTCGTATGTGGCGAAATAAAGTTTTCTGAGGAGTGTTGGTCCACTAGCGGCCGAGCGGTAAAGTAGCTGAACACTGGTAGTTCGGTCCGGGGTTTGAATCCAGCGAACGGGCTGGCTGCATGGGTGTTTTCGTGGGTTTCCTCATGTGTAACGTGTATACGAGCCAGTTTCCCTTAGGAAGTCCTTCACGAAGGCATCCTTCCCCTTAGACAGATAGCTCTATTGTGCTTTGCCATAATTATATACACCAACACCTGAGGAGTGTTGTTAGGCAATGGAAATATCGCAAGCAGATTATAAGCTATTTTCTCCATCCTTTCTGTATGCCTTCGTGGTGTAACTGTAGCATACTCGGCTCGTATTCGAGAGGCCCAGGTTCGAGTCCCGGCGAAGGCATTGATCATTTTTCGTGTTTCTTTGCTCCAAAAAATTCCTAATGTCTCTACAGTGGTGTTTGAACTAAAAGGTGATGAATAATGATTCTTCACCACCAAGATTTGGCGACTGGATCCCCTAATTGCCAGTCACCCTTTAAAAAGGGAAGTACATAAGGTATTTTCTACGTCCTTTCTGCATACCTTCGTGGTGTAATTGCAGCACACTCCGCGCGTATTTCCAGAGGCCCTAGGTTCGACTCCCGGCAAGGGTATTGCTCTTTTTTCACTTCTCTAGCATCCAAAATTCTAATGATTCTACAGTGGTGTCCGGACTAAAAAGGTGGTGAATAAGGATTCTTCATCGCCAGGATTTGGCGATTGGGAACCTCTAATCACCAGTTAACCTTTAAATGGGGGAGTATGTAAGGTATTTTCTTCCTCCTTTTTGCATGCCTTCATGGTGTAGCGGTAAGCACACTCACCGCGTATTCGAGAAGTTCAGGTTTGAGTTCCGACGAGGGCATTGCTCATTTTTCGAGTTTCCTACTTCAAAAAACCAAATGCCTCTACGCGATTATTTTCAAACTTTGAGGCTCATGCTTTATATAACATCTAGGCTACCAGAGTTTTGCTATGCCAGCTGGTAAATATTTACATTGCACATCTCATATCATCTTTATATTTCACACAAACTAGTCAATACTTAGTTTTTTTAATTGTTGCATCCATCTTGTTATATAATCATCGCATTTTATCATAATATATCCAACTGGTAATTACTATGAACCCTAATAACGTAACTGAAGTTACTAAAAGATATGTTTTTAACGGTATATGTTATATAACGTTGGCTTTTAGTTCAAAAGTGTAAATTCACATTCTTTTTTATACTTCAGATAAATGGTTAACAATTCAAAAGTAAATATATTAAATTATACAAAAACATTTTACTACGGAGAGTTTCCAGAATGAATCTTGGTATCATTGTGATATTATTAATTTAAACGTATTCTTTTAAATAACGCTGCTAGAATTTTAAAACTAATTTTTGTCACTACATTTTTATAATCTTTAGATTATCATAACTCTAGCTCGAAATATTAATGCTGTATTTCGAAATGGATTTATTTTCTAAACAGCTTTACAGTTCGAGTACTTCCTTACTAAATATCTTTCGTTTCTATAACTTTATTTGACCATTTTATACTTCAGCCACATGTGCTTTGTGTCTGTGTGAAATGGGGTTCATTACAATTCGTTAAAAAAAAAAACCTAATAATTTGAGCTAATATTTGTGTAAATTCCTCAGTTAAGCTTGATTCCCTGCTTTCGGGCGTATATACTGCGATGCATTTTCCCTGGGAAGGAACACCGAATAGATTTAATGTCATTAACGTGGACAGAGTTCTATAACCTTTTCACCACCTCTGTCATTGAAAACGTCATATTGATGCCGGCTCGCCATTCGTATAAGAATTAAACAGAAAAAACAACTTAAAAACCGAAATGGGCGTTAGCCCAGAAGGGCTATAAATTTCATTTTGGTATTTTACGTGGATTTACTATAACAGTCTGATTAACTTTTCAAATTGTTGCCACCAAATATTAAAGACCTACATTATATTTAAAAAAAAATAAAAAATAAATCATGAAAAAAATCTGAAAGGGTTTTAGATTTTAAATTACGTCCAAAGGGGCGTTTTTTTAAAGCGTTTTGTGTGTTAGCTTT